TTGATCTTAACGTCATGAGGATAGAGTGGCTTCTTTTGAGAGCAAAGTATCAGACAGTAGCAGTCTGGAAAGACTTCCTTGTTTTTTCCTTGCTTTTCCCAACTCTTCCACTCTCCCACTGAGTGGCCTGTGCCAAATCCTTGCTTTGTTTTTTCATCTTTAAATTGAAACTCATAGCAGCTGCAGTTAATATAACCAATTTCATTAATATACCTCTGTGAGATATGCTAATGAAAATCTCTTGTGGTAAAATAGTTGTGACTCTTTGTTATGTGCCTAACTGAAATATTAAAATTAAATACTACAGTTCTTAGTTGTGACTGGTGGGGCTTTATTTAGCAGCCTGTTGCTGTTTTGAACTTTATTAGGGAGTTGAGTACTGCCAAGAGCAGTTGTACCATTTTGTTGCTGATGTTATAACCTATTGGGGTTGTTTCTGGTGGCAATCAGTGATCTTTTATCTGTTTTTTACAAACCATGTCATGACTGTACCTCAGAGAAGTCTCAGATGACCAGTACCTTAGAACATGTGATGGATTTTGACTTTGACTGAGGTTGGTCTAATATGCAAAGGTTTGCTCAAGGGAGAACATTAATGGCACCAAAATTTGATGGTGTTAATATAACGCAGAAAAAGTGGTCTCCTGGGCCATGGGTTGATGCAGTTTACTTGGTGTGGAGTTCTAGCACATAATATACCCACAGCATAAGGGTATGCAGGGCTATTCACTTGCATGCCTAGTTTAAATGCTGAACTGTGTTTTCCTAGCAAATTAACATTCACAGGGTGAAGGGACAAAAAGGGTGGTACAATATGATGAATAGCCTGCAAAAGAAACAAACACCTTTTAAAATATCTGTGTTCCTCTTTCATGGGTGTGCATTCATTCCTCAAAGCGCTTATGAATCCGTTAAGATAAGACACAAAAAGGAAAAGGATCAGCTTCAGTTGTTCAGAGAGCATTGATGTAAGTTAGAGGGCCAGATGTGAGGGGAGAGGAGATGCAGCTGAGCTGTGACAGTCTGAGAAGTGCCAACATGAGTAGCAGCATGCAAGGTGAACCATTTGGGCAGAATGAGTGCACCATGACTCATCCCAGACATCAGTGATATCACAGGGAGTCAGAAGGATTGTTATGAGAACTTATGTTAGACTGGACAAATGATTTACACATATTTCTTTGAAGCAGTTTCCCTAAATTGTATACAGAAATTGCATAGAAATCTCTGGAGCAGAAATCCCTTTTGCACCCTGGAAGCCCATAGAAACTTTACCATGATTATGAAACTGGACCTGAGGATTTACGGAGACAGTGTGCTTTATTCATCCCATTCCTCAGAGAGCCTTGGACACTGTACAGAACTCAGAGCCATCACCTGGGAGGTCTCATTTCCTCTCTTCTGAGCAAGGTGGTAGCAGCTGGATGCCATGAAGGCATCAGGACCAGCTGCAGTGCATCTCACAGGCCGGTCAGGTAGATGGTACTGCAAATATTCAGTGTGACTTTGCACTTCAAAACAATGGAAAGTGGTCACCCCCAAACAATTTAAAAGATACCTTGAGATGTGTCTTGATAATAGCATGACCTAAATACAAGAATTTCATCATTGAAGACCTGTGGAGTCTTCCAGAGATTAATTAAGCATCATGCCATGTAATATGTGACCTTTGCAGAAGCACTGCAGAGGCACCAGGAGCACCTTGTTTGCCTTTGATCCCATCTATGGCTGGTGAATGGGATTTCAGAAATCACTGATAGTATAGCAAGGTGCTCAGAAGTAAATTTCATCCTTATATTATTTAGTTCAGATCAGTACGATCTGAACAGAACTAGACCATGACTTTCCATATATGTTTTTTCTAATTGTTTTATTTAATTTCACTTGTTAGGACAAAAAAGACCTGGTAAGGTCCACCCTAAGATAAACCTATTTGTAAATTTGACACCAGATACAGATATGCTTTTCCAAATTCATCATTTTACAAGTGGATTTTCTATTTAAGTTAAGATCTTTGTCAAGTTAATGAAAGAATAGAACAGAGTATTCTTCAGTGAACAAGAATGACGTGACTGTAAATTGATGTGGTTTAGTTTTGGATGTGAAAAGGTACATATAGATAGCAGGAAATGGCAGAGCACACCAACTGTTTTGGCTGCAAGAGCAGTGTGTTCAGCATATGACATTACAGGGGAGAAAAGAATTAAGACTAGAATTAGAAGAGGCAGATTCTTTTATTATCACAGATTAGCAAGCCTCCTTCAAATACAGGGAAAAATATTTTGGTAAACTTTTGTCCAAACTATCAACGCAGTCACATTAAGATATCTAAATTATTTCTTAATTGAAAAACAATTTTATTAATAAATCAGTGTTGCTAATAAAACAACCACCTCCAGAGAAGTTCTTGCCTAAAATTTTCAACATCCCAAATAATACATGATTGAGTACAAGAGGACAAGCATTCAGGGTTTTGTTTCTCCTAAATGATAAAATTACATCTGCAATGAGCAAGCATTTTGTTAAAGCCTCCTTTTTTGTCTCTCCTGAAACGTGCAGGGAGACAATGAGATGATACTGATCTGCATGGAGAGTGATCTGTCAAGCAGTTAGCTAAATGCGGTGGAGAGAAATTATATTATAAAGGCAACTCAGAACTGTTCAAACAAGAGGACTATTGGCTGTACATTTGAGTAAATCTATGCAAAATAAAAGCTTAGAAAAACAAAACTCTTTGATCTTGGTATGTTTCATACAGAAATTCACTCCAAAATGGGAGTCAAGAGTTCATAGCAAATTCTTCCTCATTTACTCTGGCAATTTAACTAGCAGATGCTGAATTGAGCTCAGCCCAGGACCAGATGGTATTCATCCAGAACTTCTAAAGGAAATAGTAAAATTATTAACTAGGATGTGCAATCTATTGTTTAGAACTACGTTGTTGCCAGGGAAAAAAAATTGTGTAAATGTGATGCCAATGTTTAAAAAGGACTCCAGGGGAACTAAACCCTTGGAATTGTCAGCCAGTCTGTAAGCCTGGTGTTCAAAGGAAAACTGATGAGGACTCTAATAACAGATAAAAATCTCTGGACAAATTTGTCGAGGAAAGCTGCACTTCATACATTCAGAGTCCTGAGCAAGTGAACAAGGGGATCCAGTTAAACACTAACTCCACAACTGCTGGGATTTGCACAGAATAGCATTCCCTCACACATTCTGCTCTTGCTTTTGTTGAAATGAGTACCTTCTGGAGTTGGTCATGGCTCAGTGCTTATCCCTCAGCCCTTCAAGCCTGTGCTGCACCTGCTGCCTGCCAGCGCTGAGATCCAGCCCTTGCTGCCTGCGCTGCGCGCGGGGCGCGCTGTGGCCAGTGCGGCCTGGCTCAGTCTGCCTTTCTGCCGGCTCTGTGGGGCCTCCTGCCCTCACTGGCTTCACCTGCGCTTAGCAGGCATGTCTTGACACTGAAGTGGGCTTGGGGCTCTGGGAGGGGCTCCTGCTGTCCTGGGGGAGCTGCTCCTTCTCCCTGTCCCACCCATCTTTGAGACTGATAGGAGAGACCTGCAGTGGCTTCACAGCGTTGATCACAGCCCTGGCCAGGCTCTCCCAGCCTGACAGCAAGGGGGGCAGTGGGACCATGCTGTGCTGTGGGCCACTGGTGGCCAGCTGCATCCAGGACTCCCAGAGGCACAAAGGATAATTGAGAAATCAGAACTTTCAATCTAACTTTTCAATCTAGTTTCCTACATACCTATTCCCATTACTTGTACTATAAAGCAAAGTTTTATGGCAAGACTGGAAGAGAAAGCCAGGCTTTCCAGTCCGTGTATATCAGCTTTGAGGGGTCAGGATTTATTGCAAAGAACCTATTATTGCTCTGCTTTTAAGTAAAAGGGATTTAAAATGTGAAAGTAGTTTTTCATTCAGTTATAGTAGAGATTAATTTCTAATATTAATTTGCATTTCTATATAAACAAGCTATATACTGGAAAGCAAAAGCCCATGACTTTGTGAAAAAACCAGTGAGGATGATATTTATTAAAAAAACAGAATTTCTAAGCCATAAAGATATATGTTTTCCACTGGTGTGTAACTAATGTGGCACAATTTGTCAGGTTTATCAAGTTTGTCAAGTCATATACAAGTTCTTGCACAGAGGAAATGTATAGACTTCTGCTTATATTAACTAACAATTCTAATATACTTTCATAAGGTTTGATCCACTAAGTGAAATTGGTGAGTTTTTCTATTGACTTACTGGGGTTTGCATCAGGCACGTACAGCACTTTCACATGAAACTAGCACTTTGCCAATTGAGATAAATGCAGCTGCTTTTATTTCTCTGAGTCTACCCTATCTTCAGTTTACTCTGAAAAATATGAAGACAAGAATCATTTCCATGTAAGGAATGCAAAATCTTCACTATGTTTTTATCTTCTCTGCCCTTTTATTAAGCAACTCTTACCATTTTAAATGTTAGTTGAGAGACAGATTTATCACTCTCCTCACTCACTGGGTCTCATTTACAGGCTGTGACCTAAGAGGCTGCCTCTGAGAAATAATGCAGAGACATGAGTAGAAGCAATCTTGCAAGGGGTTAATGCTGTAATCTTTTTCTAGCCTGTTTGTAATCCCAACAGTAGTGCAGTAACAGAAGAGGGTGGATCTAAGAAGTATCCAGGGGGATGTGTCTGTGTGTGTGTGTGTGTGTGTGTGTGTGTGTGTGTGTGAGTGTGCACACGTGTGTGTGAGTGTGTGTGTGTGCACACGCTTTGCTCTCCCGAGCGGCCGTGGTGCCTCTGGAATAAATCGTGTTCAGCCAGAGCAGGACTCTGTGTGCTGGGTGCTGCTGCTGGAGAGTCAGAACAGCTTCCTTGCACAGCTGCCTCCCTTGCATTTCTTCTGAAGACTTCATTCAGAAACCATTTGTTTACTGAAAGCATGGGCAGATAGTTACAAGCCCACCTTCTTCTTCATCAGAGCTGACCTGTGGATACTGAAGAATGGAAATACTTGATGCCAGTAGCTTCCTTGGGAATGGCACCAACATTACTGATTTCTTCTGCGATATCATCTTGGAAAATGACACTTTTTTCTGTGTGGATGATGCACCTTATCCTTCTAAAGGTATGTATGGAAAATTGATTTTTTCCAGGCAGTTTTAGTTCTAGCTGGATGCAGCGATACTATAGAAAGAAAGAGCTATACAAGGCATTTTCTCTGAGAGAGTGCAAAATCAACTGCTTGCTTTTAAGTTAGTATGAGAAACAGGCAGCAAAAAATTTATTATGTGCTGGTTTTCCTAGTTCAAAATTGAACTAGGAAAAATTTCGGATATAACTGAACACTAAACCAGTAACACTTTGGAGCACAAAATGCAAACATCTCTGCTAAGAACTTGGAGTCGTATGATTTTTATTCAATTCAATAACAATGGAGTGATCTGATACCATGTATGAAAGTGATTTAATATGAAATCATAGTACTCTGAAGCTGAAAAAAATCCATATATTAAAATGTCTTTTGATTGCTTGATCTTTTCTTACTTCTGCATAAAATAGGATCTCCCATGGTGAGTAAGTGGTGCACACTCAGCAGCATGAGAAGCACATGCTTTAAGAAGTTGTATTTGACTCTCCAAATGTACATTGTATTGCTTATATTGTAGATTAATGCTATGCAATTTAGGTAGATCAGAATGCATTTAAGAATTTCAGCAGTGTCACTGATTTTGTGTTGGTGTAATGACATAAACCTTCATAAAACTGAATACAGAAAGGCCTTTACCTTGTGATTAAAGGTTGAAATATATAATATTAATCTGAGTTGAATACTGTGTAACTGATCTTGTGACAATTTTCAGATTTGCATCAGATAATACGGATTCTGCTGTATTGCTTGATATTTCTGCTCAGCATTTTGGGGAACACTCTGGTGATTACGGTGCTGATAAGAAACAAGCGGATGCGAACAGTCACCAACACCTTCCTGCTGTCACTAGCAGTCAGTGACCTGATGCTCTGCCTTTTCTGCATGCCTTTCACCCTCATTCCCAACCTGCTAAAAGATTTTATTTTTGGAAGTGCTGTTTGCAAAACTGCCACTTATTTCATGGGTAAGTCTGGGAAGTTTATACTTATTTTGAAGACTGACTAATGAGACAGGTGAGAAGGTATTAAGATCTATAAGGGGCTGATTGTTTCCATCCACCATTGAAGTTACCAGTATTATGAAGAAACAACTTTGTAGTGCAGATCTTCATGGTTCTGGTGTCCTTGGTCTGATCCAGCAAAACACAGAGGCACACACACACACTTAACTTTAATGACATACAGAAGTGTTTTGCTGGATGTGAAGATGTTGCGTGATCAAACTTTATTGAGGAACCCAGCACTTGTTCAGCCATCACTGGCAAGATTCTTACCAGTGTCCAGATCACCCACCAGAAATGATGGGCTTGTACACCCTCAGTAAGGGCAGATTCTACCCACAGATTTTTGGCAGCAGTGATACATAAAAAAGAAAAGAGAAATAGGCCAAAGCAGGTGTAATTTGCAGAGCTGGAATTTGGAGCAAGTACTCTTTGCGCACAGACCAGGTGTGATCAGAGCTCCCCAGAAGACCATAAAACACAGATATAGATTTTAGAGGCTGACTTTAATAAACATCACTTTTGTGTGCCTTGCCATACTCTTCTTGGTTGTGGAGCCAGGATCTAGCAGTTTCAAAATGTCTGGGTTATGTATGTGTAAGTGACTTTTTGTCTCACTTTAATATTTCCTCTGCGTTTGCTTGTTTCTTAACCAAAAAAAAAAAAAACCCAAACAAACAAAACAAAAGAAGAAGAAAAAGAAGAAGAAAAAGAAAAGGAAAAAAAGGAGAACATTATGTAAAGTTTTTGCTGCTTTGGGAGACTCTTAGTTGATTACTGAAACCTCAGGTCCCCTTTCAACCCATGCCCTTGAGAACTTTGATGTAATGTGAAAGTAAAGTGTACGAATGGGAAATCAACATCTTTTTGTAGATAAAACCAATAAAACTAAAGGCCATGTTTAAACAATTACAATGAATTGCTGGCAAAAATACCCTGAAACATTACTGAAGCATTGTCATCTTCCTCTTATTGCACACAGTGTAAATTACTTTATTTAAAAAATCCAGTGAAGTAAACCAGCATAAAGTTTCTCATTATGAAGCTGTTTTAAGAGTCAGAAAGAGAAGATTTCCCACTAAATGTCCAGGTAACAGAGGCATCACCTGATAAACCATTGCAGCAAATATGCTCAATTTTTCATTTTAAGATGCAGAAAGACAAATTTTCAATTACAGATGATTTCTTTAAAATAAACTGTAACGATATTGGCATTTTATATTCTGACACATATTCATAAAGACAAATAAAAAATCATTCACTGAAAGAAAAATTTGTGGCCAAGTTAAGAAGAAATATTGATAATTTTACCGTGGTGAACTTGGGCACCTCAATGACAGAAACACAGACAACAACAATATATTTTATAAAATATGAACAGAAGAAATTAAGGATACTCAAAGGACAAAGACTCTGCTTCATCACTTCATTTCTCCTTTTTTGTAAGTCCATTAGCATCTAATTAAAAAGTTGTAATAGATTTAACTCTCTTGAATGAAAAAATCAGATCACAAGTCAAGCAGGACACTCATAAAAATTAAAACAATAAAAAAGGGACTGTGAACATCTGTGTTAAGAGAGTAATTAACTGATTTCAAATGCTTTGTTTGAATTTCAGTGCAATTAGTGAACAAACTGCAGTAGCAAAGAGAACAATTAAGAGTAAAAATGTCTTCATTCCCTGTTACCAGAATTTTATCATTTGACAGAGTGTGTATTTTTTCTTGCACTTTTGGAGTAAGAGAAGTGCAGAGCAGGAATATCAGTCTGGAGCAGTCCTGAGACCCAGACCCACTGCCCACACATTCCTCACTGACTTCATCAGACTGCTGTTTAGAAATCCTTTTGCTTATAAATAGTTTGCTATATTTTTAATTTTTTGTATGCATACAGCAAGCTAGCAGGACCATTTGAACATAACATAACCTTTAAAACAAGAGGATAACCTTTTTCTTTATGTTACATGCATAGGTGTCTCTGTAAGTGTCTCCACCTTCAACCTGGTTGCCATATCTTTGGAGAGGTACAGTGCCATTTGCAAACCACTGCAGTCCAGGGTCTGGCAGACAAAGTCTCACGCCCTGAGAGTGATTGCTGCGACCTGGTGTGTGTCCTTTGTTATCATGTCACCATACCCAATCTACAGCAAGCTGGTACCTTTCACCAAGTACAACAACACCACAGCCAATATGTGCCGGCTCCTCTGGCCAAGCGATGTCATTCAGCAGTCCTGGTAAGAACAGCTGGCTGGTAGCAAATGTGCAATTATCTGCTGGTAGCAATCAGCCTATGGAAAATCAAGTATTAACCTTCAGCAAATGTTTACGCTCTATCATTCTTATTTAAGATGTAAGAAAACCCCAACATTTTTAAGCTGCTTACATTTTGACATTTGAATGACTTTTCCCTTGCCATAGGAAAGACTGCCCAACATGGCAATGATTCTCACACCATGGTCTGCTAAGCCCCAGCTGTCACTGTCAGGAAATAATCTGTCACTTGTAGCAGCAATACTGCTTTCACTCATTTACACATAAACTTCAACATTCTCAGAGAAACCCTTGATTAATTGTTGAGAAATGCAGACACACCCCTCTGTGTGCTGCCTGGCCTGTTAATTTGTTTGAAGGTTCTCCATAGCAGAGAAGTAGAATATGAAGCTGCAAATGTCTTATTTGAGAATCCTTTTGGTTGCTTATGGAGAACAGGGGCAGAGAGAAGTGGGGAGAGACAAGCTCCCAGTCCTACACATCCAGGCAGGGTAAACAGCAGCACTATCAAACAGCAATAGTACTTAGACATGATGTCCTTGCACGTTGACTAAACACTGACTGGCACTGACAAAGTGTAAGTTTTTTTTTGACACTGAAGGTCAGTTGGAACTGGGGAAAGATTAAAGTCTGCCCCATTTTGGTGTGGTATATCCACAAAGAGTAACTTTGTGTTAATACTTTCAGTAGTAATCTCAGGTATTCGGCAGCATGAGGAGGAAGAGTACAGAACAAAATTCTCTTCTCTGTGGTCTCCTTACAGATTCCCAGCTGTGTTACTGAGTTTGCACCAAGGCCACAGGGATCAGGAGAGGCACAGGCTCGTGGATGCGCTGGGGAAATAATGATTTAAACATCATTATTTCCCCAGCTTGTCACCACATCAGAGGCTGACTATGTGAAACCACATAAAAGCTGCTTCCTTTACCAGAGAGATTGCCAGTCCTGGAATCCCTCCTCAGGAGCTCTTCATGGCTCCAGGGATGAGGACCCAGGTTGTGGCTGCTCTGGTTTTGCCCACATGTGCCAAGGCCCTCTGGAAGTCAGATCTCTCTGAAGCACAATAATAGAATAATTTGCATTGGAAAAGACCTCTAAGATCACTGAGTCCAACCATTAAAGTATTTTTAATGTACCAAGAACCCCTTTAAGAATCAGCAGGTGCTCATTTAGCTTCTCCAAGGCAATTTTTGCATTGATCAAAACTACAGGGCATCCGATGCTCATCTGGTTACAGCAGGGAGTCCCACTCATGGGCAGAGAGAACTTCTGCCCCCTTTCACTACTGTGGGATTGCCCATCTCCTCTGGGGTGCATGGGTGGGATGAAAGACAGTTTTCAGCCATTATAGTCTTTTTCCTGCTGTACCTTTCTGAGGGAAGCAGGAGAAGAAGTAGGAAGCTTCAAAATTCTGAGGTGTCAAAATGATACTTTGTATTGGCATGAAAAAAATTCAAAAAATCTTGAAATCCTGTGTTCCCCAATTCTCAGTTGTATAAAAAGGACTTTTTCTGGTTTTTTGCCATTCCCTATTCTCTCTCCCTATTATCTTTTGATTTCTTAGGTACACTTTCCTGCTCCTCACACTCTTTCTTATTCCTGGGATTATAATGATGATTGCGTATGGTCTAATTTCTTTGGAACTCTACAGAGGAATAAAATTTGATGCCAGCCAGAGAAAATCTTCACGAGGTAACAAAACAATGTGATTTGGGGTGGGGTTTTTAAAGGTACAGTTGGAGATACGAGCAGTCATTTTGAGGCTAGTAAAAGGAAAGCTTTCTACTTCCAAAAATGATCATTATGGTCAGTTATGTCGTGAACTTGCCTGCCACATTTCTTGCAGTTAATCTGCAAATAAACCTCACCCATGGTTGGTTTGCAAAGATTCTGGGCAGAATACATTAAATTTCTAATTTATTTATTATAGAAATACCAACTTTTATTCTGGATGAGGACCATTTTTGTCAATAAATGTCACAATGAAAATTGTCAAATAAAGTAGAAACATATAACCTTGAAAACTATTTTCTGTCCATATAACAGACTAAGTAACATTCTTACAACTTTTGCATCAGTTTATATAGAGGTAAGATGTGAGAATATCGGGAGACAGTGGATTCAGAGCAGCTGTTAATATGACTGACTCAGAAGCAGGCCAGTGCTTTCTTTGCAACAGTTGCTCAGCTATGAATTATGTTGTTTATTTAGATTTAGACTACGTTCTTCATTTTTTATTTGGCCGACTGTTCAGAGGTATTTAGCCAGCTATTTAAACAGCATTTTATATGTACAGAAAGAAGAATAAGTACCTGCAGCGCCAAATACGAGGATGGAGATGGATGTTACCTCAACAAAACCAAAAGGAAAAGGAAAATGCCATTGCAACAGCTCTCTGCTATGAGCCACAACAAAATAGAGAGAGTGAGAAGCAACAGCTCTTCTGCCAACTTAATGGCCAAGAAACTTGTCATCCGTATGCTGATGGTGATAGTGGTTTTGTTTTTCATTTGCTGGACTCCCATCTTCAGCGTCAACGCCTGGCGCGCCTTCGACACGGCCTCCGCCGACCGGCGCCTCTCGGGGGCTCCCATCTCCTTCATCCACCTGCTGTCCTACACCTCTGCCTGCGTGAACCCCATCATCTACTGCTTCATGAACAAGCGCTTCCGCATGGCCTTCCTGGCCACCTTCGCCTGCTGCGCCCCGCCAGCGCCGCCCGCCGCGCACGGAGAGGCTGCTGATGAGGAGGAGGGCAAGACGACGAGGGCTTCCCTCTCCAAATGTTCCTACACACACATGGCTGCCTCTGCACCCCCCTGAGCTGCACCGGGGAGGCAGCGAGTGGTGAAACGTCTGCTCCTGGAACGCGGCTGCGGCATCAGCTGAACGCCGTTTAGTCCTGAGTTAATGAAACGCTTCAGCTGGCAGTAAACACAGCAAGAATTTTATGGGAAATTGATGCTATCACTGTATGAGTGTTAAATCACTTTCCCTTCAAAAGTACAAAGGAGGAAGAGAGCTCTGAAGATAAAGGACTTTATGAAAAGCCTTAGAAGTTGCTCTATTTGTAATAAATTCCACTGCAAAAATTGGTGTCCTCTACATCAATGGCTTTACTCAGTTTTCAGATGCAGACCGGAGTATCTCAAGATATTTCCAAGATGCAAATAGATTCTCCTCAAACGTAAATATATGTAATGCAGTCTTCACTTCACCAGCTATGTCTCATAAGCAAAAATCTTTCTGTAATATTTGTGGTATTTTTTCACATTATTTTAGCTGAGCTAATACATGTTGAGATAATTTTGGTGCCACTCTCTTGGGAATTCAGGGGTGGTGAGAATGGGCTTGTGCATGTGAAATTAATGCTTTTAAATAAAGTAATTTCTTTTTAAAAAATAAAATGAAAGCAAATATCATTGGCTTTGTGAGTGGAGTGCTTTCTTCACTCAGACAACAGCATAAATTAGCATAATTTAATGTATTTTTCACTTATATAAACTCCATAGAACAAGGACAAAGAAATGGCTTTCTTTGGTGCTGAAAGCACACACACATGCAAGTGGTGGGGGCTAAGATGAGCCAAAAGGCCCGTGTGGAAATTTCCACAGTGGGAAGCACAGGGAGAAATGCTTGGGATAAAGCAAAGAGGTGTTTTACAGACGAGACAGGACTGGAGGCACAGGCTGGTGCCCGCGGCAGTCACATTTCACAAATTCATTCACAGCCACTTCAGGGATGGCACTGCCAGCATGGAAATAAAGGCATTGGTGCAGAATGGCAGAAAGGGCAGATACAGCAAGCAAAGGCTGAAAGGCTTGGTCAGAAAAAAGTTTTTCTAAACTTTGGAGCAGCTCTTTTCTCCAACTACACAAACTTATGTGTTTATTACATGTAAACAGATTCACCATGGAGTAGAGCAGCTTTGAATGAAGTAATTATTGGTGCTTTGTGGAGCAGGAATCCAGCCTCTTTCCTGTGCAGCACACAGGTGAGTGTGGGTGTTCAGGTCCTGTCCTTTGCTCTGTGGAACTCAGATGGAGAAGTTACATCACTTATTTTGGTTTGTGAAAATATCCTGTTGGAGATGTTTCTATCTTCTAGCTGAATCAATATCATTATAAACCCTTGTTATTAGACAGAGATTAAATTTGAGCACAGCATGGAATGTAGATGTGGATATTAAATATAAGCCCTCTCAAGGTTTTTAATCAGGAAAATCTGATCTCTTTACAGAATGATTTTAAATTAGAAATATACTGTGAGTTCCAGGACGCAGATCCATGTCCTGCACTCAGTTATTGCCTGAAATGGTTTACCCTAAAAACTTAGGACACAACTTCGGCTATTATTTTTTTTTTCCATCCAGCTTGTCCACAGACAGGAAATTAAAAAAAAATTCTAAACACTATTTATGCACAATCCATAGAAACAACATTTTGCCTGCCTACTTAATAAAGCAGCACTGCTCCTGGAACAGTGCTGAGACCACTGACATCAATCTGACCTTTTCAAGTACCCAACAAATTAAATTATGGGATTTAATTCATAGCAATAAAATGAAAATTTTACCTCACTTACAGATACATGTTGAGACCCTCTACAAACCTGTCCTGTGCACTGAAGGAACAAACTTAGCTGCTTTGGAATTTATGTGGAGCAGTGACAGCAGCAAACATACTTGTGAAGTATTTTATACCATCTGAAAGCCTGGATCAATTATAGGCAATAGTTTAAAAATTGTTGTTTGAGCAAGAAAACATTCCACATGTTAATAATATACTGGATGTGACTGTTGCTGCCTGTGTGATGTGTTGCAGGACAGCCCATAGCGCAGCTCTGTGTGCTCTTTCAAAAGCAAATTCCTTTTTGTAAAATGCAGCTTCTGCAGTAGCTGTGATGTCACCTGAGTGACATAAGAGGACATGCACAGTTCACCTGCTCTCCCTGATTGAGTCTGAGCATGGTGGTTTCAGATGAAAGCCAAAAGCTATTTTCAACAATGCCTTAATCAGATCTCAGCCCCCCACGGCCTCCAGTAGCTGCAGCTGAGAGGAGCAGAGGTTCTGATTGATTCCCTTCTCGAAGCTGTCAGGGAGCACAATTTGGAGGAGATGAAATGAGGAAAGCAGGGGAAGATCCTGATGGAGTGGTGGCTGGGAGACAATCAGGGAAGGGCTGAAATGTGCCATTTCTCCAAGGCCCATCTGTGTGTGCGTCACTCGCCCCCTCCATTGCCCCCTCTGCACCTATTTTCTTGTTATATCAACGCAATATTTCTTTTGATCAAGCTCCCTAAGCCACAAGCCTTGTGCCAAATTCCAGCAAGAATTAGGAATTAAGCTTTTAAAATGCAATATAGCAACCCAGTCATTTTGTATTTTCCTGCCCTGGTCTCCTAGCACAGGAAATTTCAGCCCTTCTGCATCTTAATGCCATTTTTCCTGATCTGTGCATTGCAGAAGTCATTCCTGGGTCCAAATGTTTCCCTTTCATTGTTAACAGATCATTACATTCTCCCAGTACCTTTAATTCAGATGCTGATGTCACTGAAAAGGTGTCTTCAGTAATGAAGATGGCATACCAAAATAAAAACAGCCTATGAACTCTTCTCATTTTAGCAGTAGTTTACAGGGGTTGTGGAGAAAAATCCTATCCTACTACAAGCAGTATCCTGCTAAAAGCAAACTGTTTTCCAGATGTAGCAGACAAATGGCAAACCAATGAATTTCCAGGTGCATAACGTTCATAAATCTCAGAAGTTTTTATCTTCTTTCCCTTTCTCCTAACTCCCAGGGCTTTTCCCCCCTCTGTCTGTCTTTCTCTTATCTCTTTCAGCTGCATGACACCATCTGATTTTTCTCCTGCATGCTTCTCAATCTCTAGGTTACTTTCCCAGCACCACCAATTGCTAGATGATTTTTTTCTCTTTGACAGGTTTATTTTCCTTCCCAGATTTACTTTCCCAGAAAGCACTCTCATCTTCATTTCCCCTATCATCTCTGGCTGACAGACTCCTGGAGCACATTTCTCCAAGCAATACATCCTGCCCACAACACAGCAGCTCTGCAATCCCCCCTACACTCCTAAGGCTGAGCTCACACAGCAGCTCTTGAACAGCAGGATATGCTAGGTCAGAAAACAAAAGTGGAGCATTGATTACACCCAGACCCTCCTTTGATGCTTCTGTCACTGTCACTTGAACCTCTGTTATTAGGGCATGTTTTAATACTGATGCCTCACAATACTGCTAAATACAGGACTTGGTGAGGGGCCAAAGGAAAGGTATTTCTCTATTGCCAAGACAAAATACCTTAATGCTCTTAATGGAAAGCTGTGTGTGCATTTGGAACTCCAGCCACCAAAGGTTTGCACCCCTTATACAAGTCATGGTCTCTTTTCCAATACCACCAAGCCCTTCTTGGCAAAGCCTGTCTGTGATCCCACCTGCTCCTGCATCCCCTCCTGTTCCTCCTGCCTCTGAGCTCAAGGATGGAGCAACCCCAGCACAGCCACCATGGCTCATGGCAATGCAACCCCAGCGCAGCCACCATGGTTCATGACAATGCTTTTCTGGCCTGGAATAGAGAACATCAGGATCAGTCAATGCTGAAATGGATGTTGAGCTAAACTGGGGGTTTCTGGTGGTAAAAGATGCCTATTCTCAAAAGGAAAGTATAGAGAGATAAAACCTAATGGTTTTGAATTTGGGAAAGGATTATGTGAGAGCAGAAGCTGTAGCCTTTTTATTACAGCATCAGAGACAGAGTGGTAGAGAGTATAAAATGAAGGTTTGGACTTTTGGTTGGGTTTTATTTGTCTGTAAAGTGTTTTGCTCTTCACTTCAAATATAACATAGACCAACCAAATACCACTTCACTCAGATGTGCATGTAGGTCAGCAGTTTGCTCACCCTCTGGCCACTGTTTTCCAGTCATTTTTTCTATGTGCATTATTAATTTCAGTTAAACAGCCTCAGCCTTTATGCACAATCCATCCAGCATGCACCCAGCTCATCTCCCAGTACAGCACAGCAATGTGTGCCTTTAACATGCCAGAATTTCTCTCTCAGTGTGTATAAATCCCTCAACTTCTAGAATTAGCCATTTTTATTTTTTCCTTCAGAAGTGGTTGTTAGGCTGCCTTGGGTACCTCCTAAAGAAAAAAAGGTAAAGGAAATATTCATGAATTGTAAAACTCCTGTTTTGCTGCCTAATAGCAATTCATTCCTGCTAGGAGCTATTTGTCTGCATCTTCACAGATAACTATTTCATGAAGAGTTTTCTTGGCTTCCACTCCAGTTGTGTCCAAAAAGCTGATTTTGAGGTAGCAAGATGTCAGTTGTTCCACTGTAAAGTGAGACAAGAACAAAGCATATTCATTAGCATCAGCTGGTAGTAAACATCAAGTAGGAATCATTCCCTATGGGGTAAACATGAGTTAATTGATGTCCTGCTATTTTGACAGTTATTAAAAATTTAAAAAATATTTCCTGATACAATGAAGAAATGCAACTTCTACACAAAGTCTGATTTAAAACAGTAGACAAAAATCACTGCATAGGTCCTGTGAAAGTCATACAAACACCAGAGTTACAAAACAGGCATGAAGAAAAGTCACGTGTACAGGACCTAAATTCACAGGAAGGGAGATACTCATGCACTTTGCTTGCTGTCAGAGGCAATTCTTCAATTATTATTGAATGGATGTTGGCTCAGGGCCTTGTTCTGAGAATATTTAGCAACTGCTAAGAGGCCTCATTCCTGATCAAGTGAAGAATGACACACAGAGGTGAAACCAGAGGGAAAACTTTGCTAAAC